GAGAAGAGAGTCAGGCAAACGCTATCTAAAATTCCAGGCTCTTCAAGTGCTGTACGAGTGCCCGTCGGCAGCAGAGCTGGAGGTGGTGCGCGGCCGGGCGGGGGAGGAGGGGATGGAGCCTCTGCCGGACGGAGCACACAGCCAGGCAGAGGCTCTCTGGCCTCCCAGGCTGAACCGAGCGCTGCACGCCTGCCCGTGGGGGTTAGAGAGCCAGGGGTGCCCACGCAGATCGGGGTGGCCGAGCTGGCAGCTGCCCCCGGTGGCCGCTCTCTCTTCCCACCCAAAGGCACCGCAGAGTCCTCTGGGCACTCGGAGCCCAGGCTCAGGAGGGGCTTTCATTGCTCACTGACACACGACTTGTCATTTTTAAACTGCCAGCCTGTAAACCTGTGATGTAATTAAAAATTATTTCCTCTAATCTGCAAAAACACCACTAGCTAGAAGAATTGTCTTCCCTAGGAAAACAAGATCTTTCCCTCAGGTTCTGGAGAGGATGGCAGATGAGCAGCTGCTGATCAAAGAGGAATGACTGTTGTGTGTCCCAGTGGAGAAAGTGCTGAATAATTGCAGTATCAGGCCTGGCAGTGCTGGAGTGGTTTTGAAGCTGAGGTGCCACCCTGGAGCTTCCAGGAGTGTGCTGAGTTTTGCTTATGTCTTTATTTCCTTTAAGTGGCAATTGCCCTAGGAAAACCACAGAGGAGATTCAGCCCAGCCAACGCAATCCTTTCGTAATGTGGGAGTCTGATCTCACCCGTGAGGTGGAGGAGTTTCGCCCGGGGTGATGCTGGGGTGATGCAGGGCTGGACTCACAGCTGCTGGGGGAAGGTGAGGACACCTCCTCCACAGCACAGAGCAAACCACGTCAGAACCAGGAGCAGGCTGCTTTGAGGATGGCTTCGGTCATCGCGGGGACGTGGGTAGTGCCAGGAGAGGGTCACGTGCACCTGTGCACCACAGGGCTCCCGTGTCCCTAGAGCCAGCTCCCTGCAGTCACTGGAGGTGACACTGGTGTGCTGACATGCAGCAGCCCAGGGCAGAGCGTGGCACTGGGGAGGTGCCAGGGGAAGCAGTGGTGGTTCCACAGAACCACCAGCACAGGAGACAAAGCTGGCTCTTGCCTGCACGTTGGAGATGGGTTCTGCATATGGAGCAGTGTGACAATGAGAAATGGAGAGGAGAAGGAGGAGTTGGGGAGCCCATGGGTGCATGATCCTCCTCCCTGAGTGGGCCCCTGGAAACAGAGCAGCCAAACAAGAAATCAATGCCATGAGCAGCAGCTGGGGGCTGCCAGATGTGCAGCCCTCGAGCTTCACACACTGTGTGAGTAACAGGGCATTTGAAGGCAACAGCAGGGACAGATTTTGGTAGCTGTGGGACTGCCCTGAATGCCCCTTGGCAGCTGGAGCTGGGCCACGTGTCCACCACAGGACAAGCACCTTCAGAGTCCCCAGCCCCGACCTCCTCCCTGGCTCCTGGCCCACCGCAGCCTCTGCTCCCTTTCTCCAGGTGTGGTTTGGGGAAGGAGTGACAGTATCTGTGTACCAATGGAGGGTGGGTCTTGTCCTCATCTGTCACTTCTCTGCTCCAGGTACAGCCCTCTGATGGGGGAGAACAGGACAGGCTCCAGGCTGGCACCAAAACCATCACCAGCCTCACCCCGAAGAGCTGTGACACCCAAGCACTGACCCTCTGTGCCCAGGGCAAAGACCCACCCATAACAGGGGCTTTGGCTTCCAACTGGGGGAGCCACCTTGCAGAGAGAGGCTTTCAGCAGTGAGAAAGGATCCAGAAATCTGTTTGGAAACATTCTGGAAATAAAGGTAAGGAAACTACTAAAGTAAGAAAAAGACTGAAAAAGAGCCATCCAGTTTTGGTCAGGTGCAACTCCTCATAACGCCACCTCTCTCATCAAGTGACCTGTTCAAAAGCACAATGCCTAAAGTGGGAGTAAACCCGAGTCCTTCACTCTGCAGCCAGTTAAGGTGTCCCCTGCAGAGCCCTCGACTGTCTGCTTGGCTGCACTAATTGGAGTTAACTTCATTAACTTGGGTGTTTGATTTGAAGATCTGTGTTTTCATGGTCAGGCAAGGATACTGCAGGCAGCCCGCCCGAGGGTGT